ATTTAGAAGATGCAAACTGCCAGACAGTAAGTTACTTGTTCGCTCTGCAGTCTGTGATAGTGCTGCGTACACCTTCGTTTTACATGCGGATAGTGCTGGCTCAACTGCAGCCCTCGCTTACAGATGTGTAATCATTATTTAAGAGTAGGCTGTGGAATTGGCCACGGTTGTAGGCTGGAAACTACATCGTCAAAAAGCTGAAAATCAGCTGCTACTTTAGTAACATTTTGGTGGTAACCACGGAAAGAAAGAAACGAAGATTGTCAGAATATCCTTCAGAAGCAGCAAGGCGTTATTTCTAGCAGCATTGTACCTGTAATGTTAAAGTACAACGGTGCAGTGTCCGAGGCTTTTGGTAGGCATGACTCTGACTGCACAGCGGTGCAGTGCTTGAGAGCAACTCGGGAGCCCTGTTTTCTGAGCTGCTACAGCGAAGGCAGGGTTCTGAAGTACTGAAACAGGACAGACCCGTACGCCAGGCTTGATGTAAACTACGTCAGATGACAATACGCTACTTTTCACCCCTCTCTTAGTTTAAGGAGCAAACAATCAGAAAGCCAGCTGGGATTTAAATTTGTTTTAGAGTGAAAATAAAACATCTATTTAAATTATACAAGGTATTTTTGAAGCTTTCTCTGTTGATCAGCAGAAACTGACTTGCTCTGCATCCGTTCTGATGAATCATGAACCAGTTACGCTGCTTTCCCCGTGGGCCTTCCTGTTCTATTAAGCTTGCAAATGACCTAAATACCTGCGTAAAGGGAGGTCTCAAGCTGAAGCAGCAGCATCTACTTTATAATTAGTGTTCGCCGTAGCTCAGAGTTTCAGACAGTCGAGACTTAATTCTTAACGTTTGTAGGAGAACAGGGTAGGAAGACGTGTCACATTCCAGAAATCTCCACAGCGCCCCTGTTTGCATGCTTGTTCCTCCTCAGGGAATTGAGTTTCACAAATTAAATTGATCTTTTTCTCTTTCTAAAGCTGTCGATGAAGCTGTGCGAATAATTACCGGAGGCCTACCTGAAATAGCTGTGGAAGGCAATGGACCTGTGGAGAATAACGCTATGCTCAATAAGGCTGTTAAGAGACCCCATGAAGACTCTGACGACGACGAGGAGAAAGGATCTGTAGTTCCCCCCGTACACGACATCTACAGAGCACGACAGCAGAAGAGAATCCGGTGAAACACGCCTGGAGTCCTGCTGCGATAGACAAAGACTTGCATTGAGTCCGTCAGTCTCTTAAGAGTCGAGCATTTAAAAAGGGACAGCTGCAAACAAAAAAAATCTTGAAAATGGTTTTGTTACTGTGGTGCCTCTTCTCCCATATGGTTCTTGACCCGACAACAGCCAGAACAACCTTAGAATGTGCTCTGAACAAAACTAGGTTTTCAAAATCAAAAGTGCAAAATGTCAAAACTGCATTTTGTTCTTCAAGGGTGTTCACGTCTACCACTTGAAATCTTGTGGGTTTTCAACAGTTTTATTTTAAAAACTGGATGGCTTATACTTGTGAAGCATTTTTAATTCACATTTTCTGGAAAACAGTTGTTCTCAGTTTGTTCATGTAGTGTCCTGCCTTATTGTCCGTTTTTATTTATGGCAGAATGTATGGAATCTGTTTTGTAGTTGAAAATGGAAAAAAAACATTCCTTTAAAATAAAAGGATATCCATAACATCATGCCTCATTCTGGTTTTATTCAAACACAACAAGTTACTTCTTAAATATTACTCAGCCACTTCAAAAGCAATGTTAATAAGACCATCACAGGAAATTGATCAGAGCATACATATTAGAATTAGCTTTTTTTCCAGTTTTCTAGAGGATACAGTATACTTTTGCTTTTAATTCCATGACTGTTTGAAGAAGACAAACTCGGTACATTTTTCTGATGTGGATTGTCCAGGAGTACTAGCTACCACAGTCTGTTCCTGGATGACTGCATCGGCCTTCCACTGAACGCGCAAAGCTAAATGTTAATCTATCAGCTACAGAGTTTAACCTGTTAGCTTCAGACCAGCTAACAAACAAAACCACCGCCTGGACTTCTGAAGCGGTTTCTAGCCGTACTTTGGAGTCGCTATGCAGAACTGCCCTCGGGGAAGCCCATAAGACCCCCCTGGACTGCAGGAAATTCAGGTACTCGGACAAGTTGCAAAGCAGCCCCAGCCCCAGCCGCGCAGATGACCGTCGCTCAGCGCCCCTGTCTGCCAGACGCGAAGGTGACCCAGCGTCTCTATAACCATCGAAGTGTTCACATGGAGGTAGGCTCTGGCCTGATCAATCCTAGAATTTGTTTTGCTTTGCCGCTTAATCCTATCTCCCTGTTTCTTTTCGAGGGGACGTAGAGAAACTATTTGTCAACCGCTACCGTTAAAAAAAGCAACCTGGGAAAATCGCTAACGTCACTTGCACGTGTGGGCCTTTGTTACAGTCCCTGTAGCCCGTCGCTGGTGGAAGCCCTACGCCACCCGCCCCAGAAGCGCTCGTTGGTCCCTCTGCCTGTACCCCCAAGGTGAGACTGGAGCCAGACGGGGGGGGGCTGTGCTGGCTTCGAGATGAAGCCTTAGGACCAAACCCCTACTGCGAGGAGAGACGGGGCTCTCTGCGTCGACCCTGCGAGCAACATGCATGCCCTGGCGTGAGCACAATCCCTGCCTCGCTGTCAGCGTTGGCAGTCATGGACCGCGGGACCCTGGAGTCCAGAACAGGGCGCAGCCATCTCCTCGATTGAGCAAGTACAATTTTATCTATCCATAATGCAGCCCCGTTCGCTCTGGCGTCAGTCACATACTTTCAAGTTTCACCATGATGATGTTCCTCCCCCCCATCCTTGAGATCATCCCCTACAGCATCTAAATTTTTGTAATTCCCATAAATCACAGGGGCCTTTACAGGCAGCTGCGAGGCAATACTAAAATATCAAGGAACAGCAGCAATTTATAACTTCTGCAACTCTAATTTAACAAAAATGAAACCAGCTTTGTCTCAGTTATTGGTTTTTTGTATCTCTAGCCCTAACCTTTCTGGTAGCTCTTTGTTACACAGACTGCTGAATTCATTTTTTGAAGCTGCAGAGCTGCAGGCTGGGTTTTGAGGTGGATCCTGCACCAATAACAAAGCACGGTAAGCAGATGCTGCAATCTTGAAGACCGCTGTAGTCTCCTTTGTTGAGTCAAACAATGACATAGACATGCCAAAAACTTACTCAGAACTTCTTTTTCTGGCTAACCAACCTACTCATTTTTGAGTTACCAAATACAGGCATCCCTTTTACTATTCGAGTATTTAGCCAAGAGAAAAATCACTTGTCTGAGCTGGTGATCTCTTACAGCGTTTTGGTGGCGTTGTTTTCCCTTGGAAGGGGGTTTGTAATAGATGAGAAAAGATTTGTTTTATAGTTGCACAGGCTAATGAGGAATAAAAGGTCTTGCTTATCCCACCTTCCTCCAGACTCAAAGTTAATGCAGCTATATCCATGCCGACGTTTAAAGAAAAGGGAAGCATCAGCGCTGATTCATAATCAAGTGCTTCCTTCTAGAAGAAGTTCTATTATTTTACTTGACTAGTTGATTAATAAAATGAACCTGGATGTTAGCAATAAAGGGGGCCTTTTATTTATTTATTTTACATAACTTGTTGGTTTGGGGTTTTTTTTTTTAAAGACCACAACACATTCTATTTTGGATAGTCTAGTACTCGGGACACTCACTGTTTATAACTATGAACTCTGCTTTCATAAAGTCATCAAATTTTGATTACTGTAATACAGCATTGTGCTCAACTAGAGGAAAATTTAAAGTGTACTTACCTCCTAGCTGAGTCTGAAATTGCAATAAGGCTGTAAGATCATTGAGCTCTTCTGTGAACACTCATCTGTACAACAGGTAGCTAATTAAATTCAAGACCTACAAATATTTTAAGTTTCAAGAACACCTCTACAAAATGAAAAAAATCTTCTACTGAAAATATTCCCTGTATATTCTAACTAACATCAAATCACTCACTTCTCACAGTACATTAAAATCACTTTTACTTCCGATAGTGCTCTGCACTTCCTGGGTATTTTTGAAGACATGATTGAATATGCAACCATCTCCAGTAGTAGTTTTAAAAAAACAAGTAAAATTTTCAGCCTTAAGTTTCACACACTTTAAATCCACCTTCTGAAAATGACAAAGATTTACTTTAAAATTAGTATTTCACATAAAAAGGAGTAAAACTAGCAAAAAAAAGGTAAGAAATGCCACTTTTATCAAAACTTTTTAGCTCTGCCCTTCTGAAGTCTTTACAAGAGATAAATACAGCTGCAATCTATAAGATTGCCACCTTTGTAAGTACTGTACATAGCAGAGGACAGTTACCCAATAACCAGAAAATTTGCTACAAAAATATATTATGTTTTGTAACATCTGCAGGTAAACAGCAAAAAAATGCTATTAAAAATGCAGTAAAATGCAGAAAAAACTAGTAGACTACATACTAACCATAATGTTACAATAAAGTGCTGTTTGGCTTTGTTTTTTGCCTGTTAAAGTTTCTTTTATCTAGAAGTTAAGTGTTCTTCTGAAGTCTTTAAAGTATGATTTATTTTTTTTTAAAAGCCAAATCACCCCTTCTGGGAAGGACCACTGCTAATCTGCCCTGGATTAATTAAACTAAATTCACGGTAAATTAGAGTAAAATGCCCTAAAATGAGCCACTTAAATACAAAGTTTGGTTCTTAAACTTGTCCTACCTAGCATCAGCTCAAAAATCTAAAAATTGCAGCCAGAAAACTACCAAGACACCCCCCCCCCGGTTGCATACTTAGATTAAAAATGCATCTTTCATTATTTCCTTCAGAACCCCTTTTGCATCTCACGTATTTTCCTCAACAGTCATCACTAGTGAATTAAAAGGAACCAGTATTTACACGGAAAGCTGTTTTCCTAGACAAATATTGGTGCATTTTTTTAACATAGCTGACAATACCGTATTGGTAACGTACAAACTGGTTTTACGATTCTTCTGACTTCCCTACAAGTTGGGATTCTTCCTTAGTCAGTATTTTGCCAAGGACTGCATCATAGTAAGGGCTGAAGACCATTTTGTTGTAGTTGACAAGACGAACATACTTGACAGCAATCTCTTCCAGCTCTCTTTGAATGGGGCCTAATCCTCCAGGAAGAGCAGGTAATGATTTCTGGTGACTAGATGCAAGATAATTCTCCAGAAACTTTTGAATTCGAGCATCTGGAAAAATTGGACCAAGGGTTTTGGTTTGTTTTCAGAAGAGACAGTCAATTAGAAATAGTGTATATCTCACGTAAAATACAGAAAGCCTGAACATAGTAAACGAGTGTTTGAAGCAGACGGAACGAGAAACCACGCATGACATGCCACCAACAGTTTGCCACAGACAGACGAGTGAGCACTTGAGAACAGAGCATTTTTGTCAAAGCGTACCTATTAGCTTGCATATGGTGTTCTCGGGACTGGCCACCGCTTGGATCTGTCCTTTAAGCACAGTTTCTCTCTCGGCTGAGAACGGTGTAAACCCGTGCTGGGACAGGGAGCTGTTAACTTCAGCACACACCTTTTCACCGACGGTAGCCAAAGCCTCCTTCAGGTTAAAGGACCTAGGGAACATGGAGCAGAGGATTACTTAGCTGTTTTAGTTATTCACTTTTGCCCCCCTTTTAAGAATAAGCTATCCGATTAGAGTTGCCTTATTTATAAAAGGTAATGGAAGAAGCATAACCTAGATAAAGCCCGAACTGTAAAAAATAATACATTTTATAGATATGAAAAACAAAGTTGAGATCTAAACCAAGGAGGTAGGATAGCATTAAATATTTCCAGCCTGAGCAACCCATACAAATGAGAGATGACTTTCTGCCTCCACTGACAGCTCTGACTAATCCAAACCCCAGTTACCAACCCATGATGTGCACAGCAGTCACTCCGAAGCGGCAGGCAGCTTACTGCACCACACACATTGTCGAGGGAGCCTGGCCCAGCCCGTGAGCACGGTGAGCTGCTTGCGCTCTCGGGTGCCAGCCAGGCATCATGAAAAACGTACTCTGAGAAACGGAGCACGCACATACCAGAAAATAACAGAGAAAGAAAAGGCAGTTCTGTCTGAGTAAGCTGGATAAAGACTGTCAGCCTGGGCTCATAAAAAGCCCTCATCACTGCCTCTACATATCCCGTGGTCCACAGCCAGAGAGAGGCTTAAACTGATTATTTACACGGGTGAAAACAGAACTACACCTGCCTCTGTGTGACTAGGCCCATTCAGTACTATTCCTGCCAGCAGCACCTTGACAATGGTTTTGATTTTCTCAGCAAATCCAGGCACATCAACAAGTGCCGAGCCTGCTGCGCTGAACGTGACCAGTAGGACTGTCCCAATCAAGACGAGCTGCTCCAGCTCCAGCTGTATTTCCTGAAAGCGGGTCTGGTCCATCAGCACTGTCTGCAAAGAACGAGGAAGCCAGCACAGAGCAAAGTCAGTAAGCTGGGCCGTGAAGGGACACCGTCATGCCTACCTGTTCGCAGCAGTGGAGACAAGACAAAGACACAGAAAGAGCAACACATGCTCAGCAGACAAGTTATCAGGAACAAAATGAAAAGAATTAACTCCTCTTTTCCAACTAAGTAAGATTCAATACTGAAAAAGAAGTACCTAAGAGCTACAAGAACTCTCAATCAAGAAATAAATGTTTTAGCATTGTACTTGTTGCAAGGCTACAAATCCAAACAGCTTCTGTTATACCCCAGAACCAGAAGAGTAGAACAAGCACAGAAATCAATTTTTCTGTTAAATACCTACTTCTGGAAAAGGCCTGTTTACATGATCCCACTTTAGGAGCTTCAGATAGGCCTGATTTTGCACAGCAGTGGAGCGCAAGGCGGAAGCTCCACCAGTGGCACCATCACCACTACAGTGGGCAGGCAACGTTTTACATCTCAGCGTTGCAAGATCATCTGCTGCTTCTTGCAACCACCTTGTGACAAGGTCTAAAGAATCTGGAAAAGCAGGAAAAAAAAAAAAATCTTGGTAAGAAAATTCCTTTTCAAAGTTAGGTTTTTTCCACCCATAATCTCCAAACAGTCCCATTAGTTACTATTACTAATACCCACGGTATCAGTTATTGACATGCATTTCATTTGTTGCATTAAGCAGAACATCTAAACCGAAATAAAAACCACACAGCTAGAGGAGACTGGAGGTGAGATGACGCTAGGTAAGCATGCCCTACGCTGTACCGAAATGAAACTGAACTCCAGTGTACTAAGTGCAGAACTGTTATTCCGGCAGATTTTTCAAACCACAGTTTTGGGACACAAGCTGTCATTTACCATATGAACTGTAGAACTTATAAAAAAGTCTGATTTCTTTTCATGATCTACAAGCACAGACACACATTTTACTGGGAGGTCAGAAGGGAAGAAAGAAAGGAACAAAGTCATACTTGGCTGTTTCTCAAGAAACTCCTGAAACTTCCTTCTTTCATATTCAGCAGACTGCTGCATTAATTTTGGCCTAATACTACTGACAGCGAAGTTTGCCATATCCATTTTCATTAGGTCTAATACAGAGAAAATTGCTCTAAACAAACAAACAGAAAAAGTTATTCAAGGCAGCCGATGTTTAAGAGGTACTATTTACAAGATTTATTACAGACTGTCTAAGGAAAGAGCAAAAACATGCACGGGAAACATTAACAGGGTGCTTAGCCATTGAAAAGCACGAGACAGAGAGAAAGCTTGAGCAAGCACGTACATGCATGCATGTGCCTCTTCCATAAATCTTGCTCTCCTATAAAAAACCCTCCATGGAATTAACTTTACTAGCTCCGTAGATTCTATTTCCCAGTATGTGCAATATTGTATGTTGAATACTTAAAAAGACATCTGGGTTTCCAAGCTTGCATATTATCTCTGTTGGCAGCCTATAAAGCCAACCTCAGTGGGAAGTAAATAATCAGACCCAAGGGGATAAAAAGAAAAGAAAACAAACAAACAAACCCCCTCCATGGAATTAACTTTACTAGCTCCGTAGATTCTATTTCCCAGTATGTGCAATATTGTATGTTGAATACTTAAAAAGACATCTGGGTTTCCAAGCTTGCATATTATCTCTGTTGGCAGCCTATAAAGCCAACCTCAGTGGGAAGTAAATAATCAGACCCAAGGGGATAAAAAGAAAAGAAAACAAACAAACAAACCAAAAAAACAAAAAACCACCACCAAAGAAAAACACCTTAATTTCAAACCTGCTGGCAATATTTCTGCCAAGTCAATCCTGAACTCTTGGAAGCTTATTGAATTAGAAAACAAAAAGGTTAATGAAATTCCTTTTAACTATTGAGAACTTGTGCTGTTCAACTGAGAACACGGTGACAAAGCAGAAGCCTCTGTGCTCCCAGGTGTGGTATGCACACTCCCTGCAGAACTGAAAGGATATTATACAGGGAGTGGGGTGGCAGGTAAAGAGAGCTCAGCTTGAGGGAAAGGACGAACCAGCTGGAGAACAGTAATACCGCTTTCCCTATGCTCCTGCTTGCTTTTTTTCCCCTTCTGCTGTTGATATTAAATTTGGATACAAACTGACTGTTCACCTGCTCTCTTAAGGCTTATACGCATTTGGCATTTAAGCAAATATCCTCCAGTGACATGCAGGAGACAGACAAATACTCCAATTTACCAGAACAACGATGGTCCTTGTTAAAGACTTCTGGGGTATCCCTCCCCTTCACACCCACAACTATGTCCCTTTCCCTATCGCTCTTTCTTTTTCTACAAAGATTTGCAGGTTGCCCTGCTGGGAACACTGCCCACGTCTAAAATTAAGGAACCCTCAACATGACTTAATGAATACCATTTCAGTACCTGAACAGAGGAACTATTTCATTAATCTCTTTCAGTTTCTTAATTTCTTCATCTCGAGCTGGAGCACAGAGAGTCCCCATCATCCCAATAACAAACTCAACCAACTTAGAAATGTCAAGGGCCCCGTTCTCTGCCTCCTGTTTTATCAAATCCAGATCAAGAACTTCTGTAATCTGGCTTCTCAGTCTAGTGTGACCAGGCAACAAGAAGGACAGGAGATTCTGAAATTGAAAGTTTTTAACAGTGCATTAGTTCTACATATCAAAGACTACCAAGATCAAAACAGTTATTGAACCACTTTTTATTTAAACTGATTACCCTTTAAAAATGGAAACTCTTTTTAACCAACCATTCACCAACTCCAAACGTTTCTCCTCATTCTGTATGATACTGAAGTTTCTAAGCAGTAAACACTCTGTTGTACAGATCATACTTAAAGACTACTGTGCTTGGTTCTGTCAGCCCAGCGTTGGGGCACCTCGCTGATTCCGTAACTAATACCGCTGTCATAACATGAAGGAAGCTTGGAATTGTGAAACTAGCGTTACTTACCTTTTAATTATCTTCCTTAGTTTTGCATTTGTTTTTACATTCAAATTCCTCCTCTGGGGTTATGCCACTTACGTATGTTCACAGATAATGATACAGTAATGAAAAAGATCAAGAGTCCTTTATGAAAGGCCAAATTTCAACCACTTTTGCTCGTTCATATCAACGCAGATACTCAAATTCAATCATTACCTTGATATCACATCATCTTACCTCTTTAATTTCTCCCAATAGTTTAATTGCATGGTCATATGTCGGTGGATCTTCCTTTAGCTGAGCTTCCAGACAATCCCAGAAAGCTTTATGCACAATATCTCTTACTTTTTTTTCTAAGCTGTAGGTAAATATGACCAGTTAAAAAGAATTACACTTGTCTCTGCAACCACCTTACAAAGATAACCTGCAGCTCCTGAAGAACAGGATGTAATAATATGAATATAATGTAACAATGAATATATGAAGCTTAACAGAGAAGAGATCTGTCATTTTAAGTTACTCAGAAAAGCAAGAAAAACTGGACACAGGATTTGTAATGGCTTATATCCTAATAAAGGGTTACACACAAGCAAAGGTGGCTTAAAATCCTTGCAAGTATCTATCATACGCTACCTCTAAACTAAAGAACTAGAAGAAAAAAAAAAAACAACACAAAGAAACCACAGAAAATTACAGCTTGTCTTCAAAAGACCAGTATTCATGTTCCTTTCAAAAGTCTCACTAAGTAAATGCAATTCTACTAGGTAAAATTCATTAAGTAAACCTAACAGAAATGACCTCCCCGACACAAAAGTTTCGGCATTTCAACACATAAATATTGCAACTACACTGAGATAAAGGCCAAGTTCAGTTTGTGTAAAAAAAAAAAATAAATACACGAATTCCACTGCCTCAGTACCAAGTCCTAATGCAAAATACTGCAAGTTACTCCTCCTCAGCAGGCAGGCTCCTATACACACCAGCTTGAACTGCAGCGCTGAAGAAGTCAAGCGCTCGTGCGTACGCTCACGCACACCAAGAAGGCCCCCCCCAAACACCAGGTGCCCAAGGCTCTGGCTCCACGTGCAGCTGAGGCTCAGGCAGTGCCCAGAGGCACTTATGCCCTGTGGCCCTCTACGAGTAGCTAAAACGTGCTCTACTGACAGCGTCTGCAACGGCAAATGCAGTCCCAGCTGCTTTCTCCTCCAGCTTGTCTACAGGTACATTCAAGCTCGAGACACACAAAACCCCCAGGTTTAATGCAAGGAAGATTCCAGGGTCCCTCTTCAAGCAACACCTGAATGACTGCTCTTTCTTTTCCAGGTGGTAGACAGCTGTATACAGAACCCCCAAAGCCAAATACAGGGACCTTGTACTGGAGCAGGCCTGGCCCACGACAAGGCCCAGGCGCTCCTCGGCAGGGTGACGGCTGCAATACATCTGTTTCTGTGATCAGGTGAAGAGATGCAATTCAGCCGCTCTGGTGAACAACTACAGCCACTGCTCAGCATCAGTGAGCAAATGCATCCAGCCTTCCAAAGTACAGCACAGGTCCCCAACTCTTTTCCTCCTTTTTCTTTTTGAAGGGGGTGTGGAAAGAAGAAAGGATGGAAAAAAGAAAACATGCTAAAATCCTTCTTCCCTGAAAAAAGCCGAGATCAATTTTATGGCACTGAGGCCTACCAGAAAAGCCATCCACTACCACAGCACATTTTCACACGAGAAATCCATGTGAAGGAACACGGAGCAGGAGCAGACACTGAATAGAACAGCGCTCTCTTAACTGTGGGACTTTAGATGAAGGATTTAGTCTCAACCGTTAGCTGCTGAGAGGAAAACATCTGATGGAAGTTCCCCCAAAAGATGCTGAGATAGAGAAGATAATGAGGAATGGGGAGAAGGAGCTTTGCATGTCTCAGATGTGCTCTCCAAATGCTGCTCCAGAGGCAGCACGTGTGCAGGCGAGAGACTGGTCCCAGTTCATGGGGCCACACATGAATTGCATGCGACCTGCAAGCAAGGCAACGAAGGAGGGCTGGACCATGCTGCCTGGGTCTGTCTAACAGACGAGGCACGCACTGACAGACGGTGCTCAGAAGACACATCAAATCATTGCTTGAGCTCTAAAATATGTGAGTCTTGATGGACAACAGAGATGTCTATTGTCATGTGGTAGCTCAGTTAAATGAATGTTGTTTGTCCTCAGCACTTAACGGGGCCACGAATCCATTTCCTACCAGCTCAGAGGCTAAGACAAGTGACAAAGTGTGGCAAAGACCCTCATCTGCTCCATTCAACCCTTCCTGAAAGACAATTCCTGCT